TTTCTTATCTTTGGCATACTTCTGTATTAAAAAAGCTAAACTATTTTCGACGATTGTATTATCACATTTAATTCAAAGTGTGTAACATAAAATACACTTTAATTTAAATCGACATTTAAATCTTTATTTAAATCGTTATTTAAATCAGAATTTAAATCGTTATTCAAATCGTTATTTAAATCGATACAAACGGCAGAAGATGTTTCAGTCATTATTGACTGGCAGTCAAAAGCAGCAACTTCTATTGTGACTAAATTGTTTGACATATCAATGTGTTTCGGTATGACATTTGGGTTCAACAGATGTTTTGTACAGTTAACAAAATCTTCTTTCTGCACTCTCAGAAAAGAATTCTAGATACAATACTATTAGGATCGAAATAGGGCCAATCATATTTAGTATTAAAAGAAGAATATTTTAATCTTAAATAGAGGAATTCTTGAATCTAGAATAATTCTGAGAAAATTAGAGGGATAGCATCAAGATTATTTTATTCTAGATTTAAGAATATCTCTATTTAAGATTAAAATATTCTTTTTTCTAGAAGTCTAATTTAAGAATTCCTTTATTTAAGATTAAAATATTCTTCTTTTAATACTAAATATGATTGGCCTTATTTCGATCCTAATAGTATTGTATCTAGAATTCTTTTCTGAGAGTGTGAAAATGATCTTCGCAAATGTACATACTCCGGCAATTAATAGTGATATCAATGCCACAAATTATTTTCCATTTCGTAGAAATGTCAGAATTTTTTGGAAATCTAAAAAAGCGTTTATTTATGACTGTATTGGCTTCACCTTTCGACCAATAATAGCTGTTGGCACAATTGGGAAATTTGCAAGAATATTTCTTTCGCGAAGGCATCGTATACAACAGTTTACAAAGTAAATGAAATTTGAACTGAAAAAAGTTGATTATAAATAAAATCACATACATTTATAAGTTATGTATAACATGTAATAATACATGTAATACATTGTGTATTATAAAACTATTGCGGACCTCATCCTCAAAGGGGAATAGTCCCAGCACCCACTGGCTAATGTTAGACAAACTGCACCGGTACGGACTCCGTCATCCTCGGATGACGGTCCCAGCACCTACCGGTGTAGCCAGAGCGGACTCTATTACCGAAATCAGATGGTCCCAGCACCCACCAGCATACATAATGTATAACATGTAATAATACACAAGGTGAAATTATCTTGCAAATAACCTAAATATGTGCACGCATCACGCATAAGAAACCATATAATCGTCGAATCCTACCTACGCGAGTATATCCTACCTACGCGAGTATATTACATAATATCACATAATATCACATACTTTTTTTTATGACTGGACCGCACATTTTGTCTTCTCGCTAATCTGTGCATTACTGATGGGCCTCCCGTTATTTCCTCTTGTTCCTCAAATTCCTCCGAGCAAATGTATCGCCTTTAATATCAGCAGCAGTCTGTAATGATACAATTACATTCACACGTTAAATATTGCCAATTTAAAAAATTATAGATTGAAGTAAAAAAAGTAAAAAATTAGGCAAATTTAACAAAGGAAATTTACCTTCGACATCACACTGTTGTGCCACTGTACGGATAAGGCAAGTGTCCTCCCTTCCTGTGACAGTTGAGTACAACATTCGTCCGAACACGTGCATCAGCAGCGAAATCTGTCCTTCGCCAGGTTATCTCTCGTACGAGGGCGAATCTCAGAAATCTCAGAACACGTGCAGCAGCGGTCTCACGAAATCTGTCCTTCGGTCATCTGAAATATATGCATTTCATTAATTTTTCAGATTGTATATAAAACAAATGTGAACAGTGTATGGTTATACATATATTTGTACTTACAAATATAGAATGATTTGATGGCGAATCTCCGAACACGTGCATCAGCAGCAAAATCTGTCCTTCGCCAAGTTCTCTCTTGTCCGAGAGCGAATCTCCGAACACGTCTCACGAAACCTGTCCTTCGCCAGGGTATCTCTCGTACAAGGGCGAATCTCACAATTCACAACACGTGCAGCAGCGGTCTCACGAAATCTGTCCTTCGCCAGGGTATCTCTCTACGAGGACGAACATGTGCAGCAGCGAACGCGAGATTATCGCGACATTAGAACAACGACTTCAGTAGTTCACTTTTCTTTTCGAACTTCGTGCCCGATCGACAGTCTTCGGCTTGCTTCGGCCCCCCATTCCTAGCTGGCCCTGCTGCCATGACGTTTCTCCCCTTCTCCTACTACTTTCACCCCCGTGCGGGACAAACTGTTTCAGCTTAGGGTACACTTAACTCTCCAAGAAGAAATACGAACCACGACACCGTCCACGGATGCTTTATATCCATCGATGGTAGTGCCCATCCGGCCTTTCCGAATGTACCAGACACGTGGCAAATGATCTTCCCAGTTCCTTGATTATATCTATAAATAAGAATAATATTCGATCATAATGAAGATTATAATATCTTTATAAATATAAGTAGAAAAAACATTATAAAGCAATAATTGTAATAAAAATATATACCTTGGCGGTGAATCAACCAATGGTTCACTAAGATGGCATAGCATGGGAGCGAATTTCGGCAATCATTCAGGTTCTATCGCCGTGACACCTTGCATGTACATCTTATTCGTTTCGTACACCTCTTTATAAACCACCTATTCCGGACTGATTTTTCGTAGAACGCACGAAGAATGCATGAACACAGGTTTCTTTATTTCTGGTGTTCTGAAAGATGGTTCAGAATGGAGAACTGTCGCATTCAATATAGGTCTTAATTATCGATGACAATTAATAACACACCATACCTAACCTGTAAGCATGTTTCCACTTGGCCTTATCCTGATCCTCTTTTACCTCGGGCGAAACCTTTTTCGCGACTTGATCCGCCATACCTGCAAGAACTATCTGGCGCAGCAATTTCGCTTCCATGTCGGTTGGTAACGGCATTACGGCCTTACGATTATGACTCGCGACACGTATTCCTCGCACTCGCGTAAACTCTGTTCCTCTAGCCTCCTTGAGATTCGCCGCCATATTGATGATGCATGACACACCGCTTGACTGTTTTCCGTCGACTTCTATAAGTCGACTATTTAGAAGTCGACTTTTAGTCGACTTCTATAAGTCGACTATTTAAAAGTCGACTTTCCGTCATTTTTATAAGTCGACAAGAAGTCGACTTCCCGTCATGACGGAAAGTCGACTTTTAGTCGGCGTTTTTTGAGACATTCGCCGACTTCAAGTCGACTTTTGTCCTTAAAAAAGTCGACTTTCTGCCAAGTCATTTTCGGTAAAAGTCGACTTCAAGTCGACTTAAAGTCAACTTTTTGCTCTTAGGGTAGATATTATAGATTGTTTTATTGGCTAAAAAGTTTTTAAATGTGTATTTAAGCGACTTTAAATATAAGAATAGATTATAAACAAGCCTTAGTGCGAACTCAGTGTGCACCAGTGCAAGCGCCCGAATTCGCTATTAAAAGGATAAATATATGTTTGATATGTATTTTATATTTTATAGTTTTACTTTTTATAGCGCTATATTAGAACTTGTTATTCATAGAAAAAGAAGTTACAAAAAAATGGAAACAACGGGAAATGCATACATTAAAAGGGATGCAGCTGGAAATATTTTGGTTAATGAAAATATTAATATGCATGTACAAAATACATATAATAAATTACAAATGTTGAATTAGCGTTTGACTTTTATTTGCTCTATATTTTTATTTGTTTACTTTTTATTTAATTTTATGAGCCTTCTCCTTTTTATTGATAAAATAATATATTTGTATTATGAAAGATAGAAATAAAATAGAGGATAGAATTATAAAAAAAACAATTGTTTATTTTTTTACATTAATTTATTACGTTTATTATTACGTTTAATTTTATTGAAATAGTAAATGACATAATTCGTCTCGGATATGCACTCCAGTTTCATGTTCTCATTACTGCTTCATCAAAATTAACAAGTTTTGTCCTTCCATGTCAGGATACTGGTCATTTATTGGCTCTTCAAGATATTGCAAATCTTCAATTTTTGCAATATTATGAAATACGCATATATCACGCGTACCATGCGCACTATATCGCGCAATTAAAAATGATATAGTTATAGTTGTCTAAAACGTTGCTTGAGACACCCAAATGCGTTTTCAATTATTACCCTGCAGGAGCTTAGTTTTTGATTAAATATTCTCTGTATGGTACAATTAATTCTTTCAAACATGGGTATGCGCTATCTCCAAGCAAAAAATAATTATCTATAACAAAATGTATAATGTTAAAATATCAAGTTTTTATTATTAGCCTTTATAACTTATATTATTTATAAAATTTTTCAACTAGCCTGTACACAATTCATGTAGATCGTTACGCAATGAAGAATTTTTAAAAACCCTTGCGTCGTGGACAGAACCAGGATATCCAATGAAAATATCAATAAACTGCATTTTATGATTTACTGTTCCTTGAAAATGCAAGGAAAAGTTTGCTTTCGATTAATATAAGAATCTGGATCTTCTTTAGGTTTATCTATTCTAATATGTGAACCGTCAATAGCACCTAAAAAAAAAGAAACGTTAGAGCTCAGACACAATGAGAAGAATAAAGAATAATAAGAAAAAGGAATAAGAAACAAAGAATAGGAGTTCATAGTCGTATCTTATTTCAATACACGTATATTGAAGTAAGATGCGACTATGAATTCCTATTCTTTGTTCCTTATTCCTTTATTCTATTCCTTATTCCTCTCATTGTGTCTGAGTCTTTAAAGTATTCAACATCTTATAGCTTCTGCACAGGACGTGGAAATGCTTGCCACTCGGTTAGAAGTAACGCAGTAGCCAATAATTTTTTTCTCTTACAGAAAAGCAAAAAATATCCGCGTTGTAAGCGTTTCTGCGTCCTGTATGCAGAAGCTATTACATGCATAAATATAAACATGATCAATGATATGGAGGAAATCTTTTTACGTTACATTACCAATTATACGAGAGAATCCTTTTCTTTCTCTATAATATATTGCAGTTTCTTCTTTTTCAGCTAATGTTGGATATTTAATCAGGTGCTATACGTCTTTTCTCTTGATATCCGAAAGTGCATAATAAAGTCTATCTCATTATAATTCCAAACAATATCTTAATTCTACGTAATTTTGTATTTTTACATGCTCAATTCTTTGAATCATTCCAAAAATTGGATGTATTATTCGTAACTCGTTATGATCTGAAATATAATTATATTAGGTTAGATTGTAGATGATATTTATTTTGTTAACATTAATCAATTTTGCCACATAAAATAATAGTAATTACTATCATCTTCATCCTAGATAGGTTTTGTGTACAATAACAGTGGTGGTGGTGGTAAAACAAAATCTTCATCGTCTGATAAATTCAGATAAATCAACATCTTCAATTACGTGTTGCGCCATGTTGATTCTTGCACTGTGGCGTTCTTTTCCTTCCTCTCAGAATTCTTGCACTAGAAAAATTTCTGCTGTACTCGCCAGTTCTAGTTCAGAACCAGTGCAGTACCAGTGCAACTGAAAAGAACAAACCTACAGTCTCCGATTAAAACGTGATCCTCCGATTAAACTCAAATAAACAGCCGTAAAACGAACGTAATACGAAAGTCTAGTCATGCGC